CGCCGATACCTGCGAGAATAAAGCAGTCAGATGTAACGAATCTGAAGAGTATATCCCTGTACTGTTTTATCGTAGATATCGAAAATGGCGAATGTTGTGCTCAACTTTAATGTTCATTTTCATACACACTCAAATACGTATACAGGTTTCTGTTATAAATATCGTTATGTGAATCAATAAATAAAAAAACTTATCTTGTCATTATAACACTATTTGGAGTTGTAATAATTAAAGCCATCTGGACCTCGCAGCACAAACTGATATAACGTTGCGGACTTTTTTGACTGCAGAGTATCGGACAAAATTTGCAGCTCTCCACCGGATAGTGCTGGTGTCTTCATATTAGTAAATTAAAAAAAATTATCGAGAGGGATGTAAACTACATACAATTAATCAATCAATCCCATTATTCAAAAGTTATGCTGTACAAAAATATCACCTTTCTTTTTTCTACAAACTTTCTTAACCTAGCTGTGTTTTGCTGTTTTACAAATAAATGTACAAAACTACATGGGAAAAAATAGTAAAGCTCTAAAAAATGATCTCGAGTTTTAAGACCATAACAACTTTTTGTTACATAAAATTTCATTTTTTCCGAGGATACTATGAAATCGCCTATTTTCGTGGGGTCAAATGTTAGTGATTTCATGAAATCTACGGGTTCGTGAAGATTTGATTTCGTGGATGAATATTTTTTTAGTAGTCATGTATATGACATTTTACTTTTGGTAGATATGAATAAAAACCCACGGAAATTAGTGATTTCACAGTAATCTCATAAAATGAAACAAAATGAGGGGTTCTTTAATAAAAAAAAAGTACTATAGTAAAATTTTCACTTCTACATTTATTTCTAAAGGTAATCAAAGTGAGAATTTTGAATTTTGATAAGTTCACTTTAGAGAAATTCAGCAAACTACCTGTTGGACTAATATTTTCTAATGAATAAATAATTGGAAATGAATTCGCTATATCAGATCACGACAGTATAATAAAGGTTTTAATTGTTTGCCTTTAACTTCACATTTCATTAAAACAATTTTACATATTACAGGTTGTCACAGAGGTAAATACGATGCTAATTGTAATCTTCCATGTCCTAAGCATTGTAAAAGTAACCAATGTTTTGTACATAACGGGACATGTCTTGGATGTGCTAATGGCTGGACTGGCTTTCAATGCAACCAACGTAAATTCTTTTTCGTTATTGATTACATTGAATACCACATACATAAAAACATTGTAGATTATTTTGCAAAATATTATTTCATTAAAAACGTAAAAAAGGATGATATTCATTCATGTTGTGAATAAGAACTATGTTTCAAATTAAGAATTGGAAACATTTTGCAAAACAATTCGAACATGAATGAAAACGTTGAAAATATTTACACAGCAATTTTTTGTTTATTTAATGATACTGATTATTTAAATGAGATAGATTTACACATTTACTTTTATTCAGCATGTCTGTCCGGAAGGTATGGTCCTGATTGTTCTTTATTCTGCTCTGGACATTGCAAAAATAACTCGCCTTGTAATTCTACTAACGGGTTTTGTACGTACGGCTGCACTGACGGGTGGAAGGGCGAATATTGCAATGCAAGTAAGAATTGTTTATCAAAAAAAAAAATGATATAAAAACTATAGATTTCAATGTAACAAGCGTATAGATAATGTTTTAAGCTTTAAATTTTGAGTTTACAATTTCAGGCTGTACCTCTGGAACATTTGGTTCGGACTGTAAATATAATTGTAGTGGAAATTGTCTTCATGAAGAAGCCTGCATTATAACAACAGGGAAATGTGCTCGAGGTTGTAAACCCGGATACGAGGGAGAACGTTGCGACAATGGTAATATTTTTTTTCCAAAACTGTCATTATTAACACAAAGAAAAAAATCTTTACTTTGATATTTTTATGTCTACACTTACGTGTAGAACCCCAAACAACTCTAAATTATGAAATTATCCCAGGCTTGGAGATGGCAAAATGCAATTAATTTTTTATCTAGGCTTAGTTAATTTTAGTTGTAAAACTTTATTCGATTGGATAAAAGATTTATTTAATATTGTATAACAATGATTACCTTGGTCACAATGAGTAACGTCAAAAACGTATTACTCAGCTTGACTTTACTATTAAGATATATGCTCAGTTGAAGCTATTTTTGGAGGAAAATTGACTTACAATTGTCTACACTGAAAATAAAGTATAAGGAATGAAAATTATTCGAATCTATGGTATTTGATATAACATAACTTGAGAAAGTTTACCGCTTCGGGATAAATAAAGCATAAACCACCTCAAATTATGTTATATCGTATAACATCGTTAAAAGAAGCCTTGAAAATATACCGGAATCTTTTTAAATTACCATTGAAATAAACACAAAAAACGGAAAAATCTTTTTTTTCTTTCAGCTTCATGTGAATTGTGTGAACTGCATTTTTAGACCTACATTTCCAAAACCCACCAATTTTAAACTTAAGATCTTTAGCAATCTTTATCCTAAACTAGCGTTACCATTTAAACGGTATCTCGTTTTAGAACTCCATCCGTTTTTACCAAGTAAAACATTTTTGGATATAAGTGAATATACCTCTAGCTCTCGTCTAAACTGTACCATTAGTTTGTAGCATTGGATATTTCAGAGAAGGCATTTGACTTGATCGAATAAGCTAATACAAATCAGGAGGCAAAAATAGAGACAGATAACATTCCCATAGCACCACAGAGTATTATTTAAATTCAATCAAACAACTTTTTTTTCATTTTACTGAAAGAGTGTGCTGAAGAAAAATATGGGACAAGCTGTCTGCATTCTTGTAGTAAAAACTGCTTAAACAAGGAACCGTGTAACTACGTGACTGGAATTTGTGATAACGGATGTGCAGATGGCTATAATGGAAGCTGGTGTAATATAAGTAAGATTAATAGCAATAATTCTAAAAATGAGAATATTAAATTGTTTATGCATCAATTGCTCAGGCCTCAGTTTCTTTTAATTCGACAAATAAAAACATTATAAGCACACTTGCAGAAAATAATAATTATAACGAATTTTGTAATGTGTTTAATAGGTAATGATATGTAATGACCATTCTAATGAATATATAAAAAAAATATTTGAATCATTTTGTCAGCTTGTTCAAATGGATATTTTGGTGCAAATTGTGCAAATGTTTGCTCCGAGAACTGCTCTAATATATGTAATCCTGTTGATGGAACCTGTATATGCAAACAAGGACTAACGAACTCTCCAAAATGCAATCAAGGTAATTGTAAATATTTCAGAAATATAAAAAAAAGGTATATAATGGAAATTCAAAAATTTAATTTGTATTTCAAATCAGCAGATCTTTTCTACACTTTAAGAGATGTTTTTCAAATACAATCATATGGGTTTTTTTTTACCGACCACAATAATTAAATTTAGTCAAAAAGATTTCTTCTTTATATTAGCTTTCTTACATTTTTTTCTCTCTAGGCTTTTCTCGGGATAATAAATTGTAAATTAATTATAAAAAGATTGCTGAGTTACATTACTAAAAGTGTGAACTAATAGTTAACATAACTTTTGGAAAAAAGGATTCATAAAGACTGTGGCAAAGGTAGAAAGTCAATCTTTTCAAAAGGAAGAAGAGTCTAGATCTGTAACTGTTGGATTAAGTGTTGGGGCAGCTATTTTACTCATCTTGATTTTTGTTTCACTGATTCTATTTTTACGGTAAGTTTTTTTTGTAAAAAAAAAGTGTTATTTATATTTATCTATATATTCTATCACTATTTTAAAAGAATATTCTGTTTATGATAAAATGAGATACATGTACCAACATCTCATAATTTTGCAAAATGTATACATGTATATACAAAGAGGGTTATCTTATTTCCATTTACATTTTCAAAAGCCATTATTCCGTTCAAATATCATTTAAGCATAACAAAAAGCAAATTTTATCTCTAACTCATTAAGGTTAGTTCAATATCTGCACGCGTGAAGAAAAATAATTGCCATGTCTTTAAACTTTGATATTGCAGTTATTCCGACAAGAATAATTGAAGTGGAACTAAATATATACAAACTTACAAACTTGAAATATAGTTCACCAAGATACACACACACATATATCAAAATTAGTTCAATTTCATCCAGTATTTAAAACAAAGTGACAAATGAAGAGACATCTAGACAGACAGACGGACAGACGAAGAGGAGCATATTTGTTCACCGGTAGAGTAGTTAAATTAAAACGTTAATTAAGCGTTTAAGACATAGGTTAAACATGTGGATTTTATATGAAATATCGAGACTTCCATTTACCAGTTTATGTATGAATCATATATTATTGCAGTTGATTTCAATTTCTTCTTCCAGATATAGAAACAAATCTCAAAAGGAAAAGGTATCATTTAATCCAAAGGAAAGGATAATGCTTCAGAAATTAGAAAAGAAACTTACATCAACAAAGCAGAGTAACAATTATTTCTTGATTCACTGCAGACTTAATTAATATTTACCAATTTTGGTATTTGTGTTCATAACAGATGAAGTTACCAATTTTGAAACAAATGCTTTAAAGCATATTTGCATATAAAATACCGATGAAAGAATCTTGGCTAAAAATATAAGCAAATAATAATACTGTTGATATATATGTAATTACAGAATTTTCCGAAAAAGACAATTCATCTATTCCTGTCGAGTCAACCTTGAACCTTGCCCCCCCTTGGTAATGCAAAAGATCAAAGAGGTGGATTGATACGCACAAAGAAAATAATAACGATAAAGAACTTACATGCGATAATAGAAAAGATGACATTATGTGAAAGCGCTGGATATAAGAATGAATATATGGTATATGTTACATTGTTGTTAGTCTGGTTTACAGTTATAGCTTTTAAATACGTTTATATGCAACATTTTTTCTGTCGCAAATTGTTTGATCATTGCATTTTTTAGTTTAAGGTTTTATTTATTCAGGATTCCATTAATTTCAGGAAATAAAGAAGGGAGAACTTTATCCTTGTTTAGAAGCCAAAAAGCCTGAAAATGTTCCCAAAAACCGCTACAAAACAACATATGCTTGTAAGTATTGCTTTGTATCAAACTCTGCCTAAATGCTATAGCTTGTATAATCCCATTTATCCTTCTTTTCAGACGATCATTCCCGTGTTGTTCTGTCAACTGTATCGAGAGAATCCAGCTACATTAATGCAAATTTTATTGAGGTAACTTGATTTTTTTCACTTTTAGCCTCTTTTTATATACATATATTTTTTTTCTATTGACTAGCTTCTACAAGTATCTATTTTGTATATTGAATTAGGATACACAAGGACAACGGGCGTATGTTGCTACTCAAGGTAAAAGAGGAAAAAGATCAAATTACAAGGCATCCAAATTGTTAAAGTATTACAAACGACTGAAATAGAAAGTTGTTAAGGCTTTTAAGCGTAGTCTTTTTGCTATCTTGGTTCTCATCATTAGGTCCTAAACCAAAGACAGTATCTGATTTTTGGTCAATGGTTTGGCAAGAAAAGCTTAATATCATTGTGTGTTTGACAAATCTGAAGGAGGGAGAAAAGGTCTCTATTTTAGATTATCTATGAATGTTTGTGCCATGCAAAAATTAATTTATAAAAGTTATGTTGATTAATACATCGGAACTATTTCTACAATCTTCTATTAGATTAAATGTACTCAATACTGGCCCAACAGTGGCGAACAAATAAGGACTGGGGAGTTTACCATCTGTACCGAGAAGGAGACTGTCTATGCAGACTATGTTATAAGAACTCTTCGTCTAGGTAGAAAAAATGTAAGAATGATATTCATGAATTTCCATAATTTCAAAGAACTACTCTTAAAATTAACCCCTAATTGGAATGAAAATCCCTTAACTAAGTCTATAATATTATGAACATATTCGGGTTAGACATTTTTTATGAAACAAATGTACAATTGTCTCCCCCTTCAGATCAAAAAAAACATGGCAGTGATGATGTTCCATTACACAAAATGGCCGGATCACGGGGTTCCTGATCCACTAAGTCTCGTGATATTTCATCGTCACGTGATGCGGGTGTCTGATGTTGTTCGAGGAAAATTCATCCTTGTTCACTGCAGGCATGATCTCTCCTCTCTCTCTCTCTCTCTATCTCTCTCTCTTTCTCTCTCTCCTCGTTATAATTAGTTACTTTATTTGAATCTCTTTATCTAGTGCAGGCATAGGGAGAACGGGAACGTATATAGCACTTGACGCCTTATACCGAGAAGGTGAAAAGACAGGGAAAGTTAATGTGCAGAAATATGTGGAAATTATGAGAAAAGACAGAATGAACATGATACAGGGGAGTGTAAGTGAAATACCCATAGAGGAATTCAAGCATTTTTGGTCAGAAATGAAAGTTTCTTTCTGATCGGGATTTCTTTCAATTTGTAGGATTCTCTACATGCCAGAGATCAATGTATAATTTTGAGAATTATGCAATATTCTTTAACGGTCAATATAAATGTTAAGGAATCAATTTTGCATTCTTGATATATTTTTCTAAAAAATATCATGAATATAAAGGAAGTAATTGACAATAATAAGTTTATACTGTAAGGTTACTATTTTAATCTTTTACTACTTTTTTTACATGTTGTCTTGCAGGATCAGTATGAAATTGTCTATTTGACGCTCTGTGAGTCTTTCAGAGGAAAATCTAAATGCATGTCTACAGAGTCATTTTTGCAAGAGTACCAGCAACACTCCTGTTACTCTAATTCTGGAAAAAATCAAACCAACCCATCACTATCTGGAGAATTTGAGGTTCATTCTTAACTATTTCTATTTGTAAAAGGGAACAAAATATCACATGTATTCAGTTTAGAAACCTTCAGTTTTAAATCAATTAATTTATTGTTGAAAGGAATTGACAAACCTAAAAAAAGAACATTCTCAGAAAGATTTTGAATCGGGACAAGCTAATATCAAGGCAAATTATTCACCAGCAATTTTACCAGGTAAATACTAATACACATATAAACCGTGTAGTTTATTTCTTCTTTTTTCGCTGTTTCAATTTCAAGGATTAGTATTATTTAAGTGTAAATTTTTGTAAGCTATTTAGTAATAACTATCATGATTATAAAGATTGGGGAACCTTAAGACACGCAAAATTCGGGATCAATTATTGTTTTTATTGTAGTTGAGGAATTCAGATGTTATTTGGACTACGTGAAAAATAGAGGAACATATTATAATGCTGTTCTTCTAAAGGTTTAGCAAGATTTCACTAAACTCACATCTTTTGCTTAATTAACAAATAGAGAAAATCAAGTTGTAATGTAACAGACACTGATTCAGAATACCACAAATAAAATTATAACTTTGGAATTTTTCAGTCTTTTACTAGAAATGACGCCTTGATCAGTGCTCAGTACCCGCTTCCTGATTACACGGAAGACTTTCTCAGATTACTGACAGACTTTGATGTCCGCTTTGCTGTATTCTTATCTCCCCTGAGAGATATTTCCTCGGTATGTGTTATAAGTTGACAAAAAGTAATTTTCCTCTTTATCAGGTAAAGACATTTTAACTTCTGTTTTTCATGTCTATTCATTGACTGTTAAAAGTTACGTTCTGGTTTTTTAGGAATAGGTTAATATGATTATTATTTATTATGCTAATTTACAGTGTATTGGCTACTATGTAAATGCTCACTTCTTTGTTATTCATATGAACATGAATTACATATTTTACCTATTCCTTTCTTTTATTCATTTGAATCTAAACTATATATTTTCAGTCTACCCTGTGGTTTCCATTCAAAAAACAGACAAAAACATTGGGATCGTTCACAGTAAAATTTGCAGAATCTTCAAATTCCAACAATATTAACACCACAGAAATTTTACTGAAGCGAGAGGTTTGTTAAAACATCAAAATGTCACTGACAAGCTGTAATACAAAATCAGATACTAGTGCACAGAAAAAACAATTTTACAAATAAGTGAATGTGTGTTGTTTTCAGGGTTGTGGTAGTATAAGAAGATTGGCTGTAGGTGAATGCAGGGCGTGGAAAGAAGGCTTGCCTTTAGATCGCAGGGCGTTACTTGACGCGATAAAAGAAACAAAAATTGAAAAAAGCCTGACTGGAAGCAGAATTCTGATTTTGTCCAAGTAAAGATAGGATATGAATTTGGCTTATGATTATGTAATGAAATACAATGAAGAAGTTTCATCTATAAACAAAAAAAAAACAAAGTTTTGATCTTGTCCAATTATAGGAATTATATTTTGATATATCATTTCTTTATTAAATAGATAAAAATTAAAATTGACACTCTTTGCACAAATTAAAAATCAAACAATTCCTTTTCCTTCAGTGACGGTGCCAAACGCTGCGGGCCATTCTGTGTTGTTTACAACTGTCTGGAGCAAATATCCCTTGACAACGAATTTGATATGTTTACCAATACACGTTTGCTTCAAATTCGACGACCGGAATTTATCTCAACATTGGTACGAAAAACAAGATAAGAGATTGTGAAGCCAAATTATAAATGAAATAAAAGTAGGCCCGAATTAGAAATTTATTGCCAATTATTATCTTATTTGTGCTAGTTTGATTTCATTTCTTTTAACTCTATTGTAGGATGAATACCAGTTTTGCCATGATGTTTTAGCCGAATATCTTCAGAATGATGCAGTTTACGCTAATTGCTAAATGGACATAGCTGCAAATTGTTAAAATGAATTGAATTTATACATAATTTTATTAACAAAAAAGTAAATGGGATATTGGCAAGCAGGCGTCACCTATTTTAGTCCTCTCTCTAGTGAAAATACTGAGAAGTTCAATGTTTGCTGAATGAGTACAGTCTGTAAAAAGAATTACTTTATAACAAGTTTTAGCCACTAATGATAAATATATTTCCTTTATTTGTTGCAATGTATAGAAGCAATACAGCACATATTTAAAGTTAAGTCATCGACGGACCAAAAAATAAACCAGAATAATGCATATGTACTTATTCATGTTTTTTCATTTATTTGTTAATAATCAGACAGGTATTAAAATACCATATATTTTCTTCAACTGAATTCATTCATTAGATTTATAAGAGAATAGTATAAAGCGTTTAAAAATTATATTGTGTCTTACAAGTAAGTCTAGATCTGTTCATTGAATGTTTCTTAACATACAACACGTCTAGCAAAATGCTACTTAAAAAGTATCACTTTCAAGAACATCGATTTTTTAAATTAGGTACCTCTTCATTTATCATACCTTTTTCTACATTTATTTTATTCATTTGTACTTATTTTTCTAGCTTTCAAGGACACGAAGTCTAAAAACAAAAAGACAAGGAAATGGTTTTGTTTGCATTTATTGTTTATTTTCTTCCCTGTCAATATTATATAATACATAAACTTTTACTTTAAGGCGTCTGAATGTGAAAAAGTACAGAGACTACCAATCAACAGAACAGAAAGAAATATATTCATAATTTCTTTAATGCATTTCGTTCCAAATGTTATTTACTTCCATTGACCCTTAATGCAATGTCAAATATAAATCACGTAATAATCTTAAGGAAAAAAAAACGCCTTTGATTATCATTGGTTCTTAAATGCCATATATGTATTGTGATCAATGTAAAAGAAAGTATGCAAGTTAAGGTTTCTTCCTTATACATTATGACTATTTTACATGTGACTTAAAATGAAGATACAATGAAATGAAAGAAGGTACATCGTTGGTAAAAGTTGTGTTAATTTCTGCCTTATTTCCTGATCCAATAAATACGTTTCTTTCTTTTTATCTGACGACATAGGTTTTACATATGCATGCACATTGTGTATAACTTGTGTGTGTTTTCGTCTTGAAATACACTTTGTAATTTGTCAATAAATATTTTGTTTACTAGTATTCCGAATCCACTCATATCTTTAATACAGATTATGTGAATGTTTGAATAAATAGTGCGGTAAACCAAGTGGGATAGACTGACAGACATACAGAGGTACAGACAGACAGGGAGAAAAACCTATAGTTTCATCCGGTTTCACCGGTAGTGGACTAATTATATAATAGTGTTGTGTTTTGCGTGCACTATGCCTAAATAGTAGTCAGGGTTTGACACAATAAGGAAACCTGTTCAAGTGGATGCGTATTTATGATGGATATCTCACTTTATTAACATGACTATCTTCTAGAAGTTTATTCAAAAGTTTAAAAAAGTATTATTAAGAAATAGAATATTAAAAGCAATATGCACCTATCCATCCGTGAATGATTTGTTTCACTAAAGTCCTATTGGAGATTTTTTCATTTACATTAAGCAGCAGTTTTCCCAGTGAACGACAGCAAATCTAGACCTGTATTCGACATTTAGAGCCATTGAGTAGTGAATGATTTTGAATGCCATGACCTACTGCAACATGGAATATAGTTTTATAGGTTCTAATCCGAAAGACCGATTCCCACGTCTCGCAGTTTGATTTAGACTCTTGACTAAGTATGAACTCTGCGACTTTAGATTGATTGAGCGTTTTTTAACGTCCCTCTCGAGAATCTTTCGACTCATATTAAGACAACACCACTTGCCGGTGTAGAGCTGCAAATTTAGTCCTATACTCGGCACTCAGGCCATTGAGCGAGGAGGGATCTTTTTAATGCTGTCACCTACTGCGACAAGGGGCTCGTTTTTACGGTCTCATCCGAAAAACCGGTGTCAACATCCAAAAGTGGGATTCGAATTCACGACGTAATTAAGGATGAACTCCTTACTTCGCGACTCTAAAGCAGGCTCTTACCACTGCGGCCACGCGGGCGACCTGCGACTCAAGAGCAAATGATCAAATCACTATGCCACGCAGACGACGAATTTTTACATGTACATGTAGTCAATATAAAAGGATAGATGCAAGCTGATTGCAAAATATAAGAAAAAACCATCCCAACAATTTTTAACATTGCATTATTTCCTTTCTTTGTAAGAATGTCCTTCGGGGAGCTATCAGAACAATTGCTCGAAGAAATGTCCGATAAATTATTATGGAAGACTTTGTTTGGAGATATGTAACTGTGCCTCTGATGAAACATGTGACGCAGAAAAAGGATGTATAAGTATGCAATATACTTATTCATACCTATGTCTTGTTCTAAATTTTGAATTTACCAGGTAGTTGTCATGTTCTAGTTTGGTATTTACCCTGCCCCGGTTCATTCAATGTTTAGATGCAAAAGTATGTAGTGTTGCATGTGTGTCGTATGATACATGTAACTGTTATTTAAGGTAGGACCAAATAGATAGGTCAAAATTTTCCTCAAATTCAATTTTTCTGAAACTTTGATATTTTGTTCTTGGATACAAAATCTCACTTTATATATGATATGAAAGAAATTCAACCGCACAATTTTTGCCCACATAGTCTGAAACATGGCCTATCAGACCCCTGTAAGAAGATTGTGAAATCAGACATTCGACTTGAGAATGAGCCTTATTTAAGAATTTTCTATTTATCTATTGCAAATTTGTGTAATACTTTTAATAAAGTTAACCTTTTTGTTACTTTAAATCAGTAATTCACATTGATAATGGAAAATTTGAGTAAAATATGAAGTAAAATAGTACATACATTGTTTCAGAAACTGAAAATTCACATGTAAATATCCGACAGTTTAAGTTTTCTTAAGAGAAAATGTATAATTCAATTTTTACAAAAAATCAACAGAATGATTCAAATGGGTCCTAGAATAAAATGTGTAAAAGTAAAGAAAATTGAACCGGTGGTTGCAGATATTTTGGCGATTAAAAAAAATTCAATGGCAAAAAAATTGAAAGATTCAGTGGATGACGTCACAATATTTGACCTTTGACCTCTAGATATGACCCTGACCTTTGTAGTACATAAAGAATAGGGACTCCGTATTTATGTGTCCAAATATCCCCCCTCTACTATTTATAGAACAAAAGTTGCACTGCATTTTATAACAGACTGTTACATGCTTGTTTATTGCACTTAGATATATAGCGTAAACACATTCCAAAATGTAGGCTCCCAAGTGACCAATATTAGGATTCTCTGATTTTTTCACAAAATATAGCGCAAATATGCCAAAACTTATTATTTTTCTTTCAGAAATCATTCATTGTTGTCAATATAGTAATATAAATCTTTTTTCCTCTAGTGCTTTTTAAGAAATGGGTTAAAATAGAATCCATGGGTGTTTTGTCCTACCTTAATTGAACGAACTAATTCTTTGAAACTAAATGAAAAAATATTATTTAATATTATTCAGACATGAATTTGAAACATTCTTTAAGATTAAATAATGAATATAAACATGATAAACATGTTAACTCTTTTTTTTAATTGCTGAATGTGCATATTGACTTTATCAATTTGAATAATTAAACCAAAATAAGTATGTTTACATTTATTTTTGGGGAATTTTTATAGTTGATGAGATAAACAAGAAAAGCAAATTCTTTCAATTTGCTCTTATGTCATTTGGCGTTCTCCTTGCTGTTCTCACAGTGGTTGGAATAAGCTACACCTTTGCTAGAAAGTACGTGCGGTACATTTTAAATGCAATTCACTATATACTGTAGATTCCTTATTTTTCGCGAATACTTTTTATCGCGAACTGGACCTTAAACGTCAAATCGCGAGAATTATAATTAGCGAATGGACGGTTGATCAATAGATTTTACATAGATTTCAGCAATATAAAAATAAAAACGAGTAATATTTTTAGCAAGTGATGCTTCTCGCGAAATTACGCGGAAATTAATTCATCGCGTTTAATTAGGAATCTACAGTATATTAATTAACTTACACAAAGATATAAATGCTATTTTTTAGTTAATAAAGTAAACAATCTCTTAAAATTTTGTATCTTCACCCTTTTCTAATCACAGGTTGCAACATTTTCATCAAAATGTTTCAGATTCCATCGGTGAGTGTTTAAATATAATTTTTTCAGTACTGTAGGACGATACCGACTTCAGCTGTTCTTACATGTAATTTATCATGTGTTTATGTATATTACATGATCAATTTTGTTTCAGATCCGTCATTTAGAAAATCTAATGTAGAGAACAACACAGAAATTCAAGACAGAAATAAGAAACTCCTTGACATTGGTACCGCATATTCTTGTACAAGTGAATCCAGCTTCGCTACAGAAAGAAAAGCACACGTATACGGATGTTGTAAAATGGAGAAAGACATGCTTCTAAAACATACCATGCAAACATCAGACTATTGCATTGATAGCTATTATTCAAGAAGTTCTACATCAGATAGATGCTATTCACTTAATGAAAATTCACCAGTTTCAGGATCTTGTAGTGGAACCTCTTTGCTGTATCTAAGACCATCCGACCTACATTCAGCATCTTTAATTGACGTAGGAAATACCTTTCAAAACGCCAAAAGTCCCCCATATAGTGAAAGAGACACTTACGTAGAAAAACAAATAAACTTGGCTAATTCGGAAGAAAGAGTTCATAATCACACAGAAAACATACAAGACACATTAAGTCATCAAGATCATAAAAATATGAAAGAATCAACTTCGAAAAACAACGTGTATGACTTGGCTGTTCCAACAGCTGACAAAATCAAAGGAACAGTAGTTCCGAATGATCAACAACTATTTCTCAAAGTTCTGTCTAATCAAATTCTTAAGATGAAAAGAAAAGAATGATATATTTTCCTCTGTTGTACAATGTGATTTCTCCTAATCATA